TTCAACATTTCTAGAACAATATGGGTGTTAATTTTTGTACAATGCCAACCGAACGCGGTAAACTGGGATACTTTTTTTCAAAGTTAACAGCACAGCTAAAGTTTCTAAAAATTCAAATTATATATGTATATATACATATATTTATATTTATATAAAAAGACCAATAATGGCAGTATGTTATGCATCAATAGCAGCAACAGCTTTTCCAGGTTCTGCAGTCATTTGAACAGAATTGTAGAGACATCCAGCACTCTCCATTTAAAAAAACAAAAAAAAGTAAAAAACAAAATCCCAGAAAAACAGCACAGTTCTATTATCCTTGTGGTACCTGGCACTATTTTTTTTAAATTAAGTACCACATTTTCTCTATCTATTCTTCAGTTGAGGGGCATCTAGGGTGCTTCCAGGTTCTAGCTATTATAAATAGTGCTGCTGTGAACATCGTTGAACAGATGTCCTTATTGTATGAATGTGCTTCTTTTGGGTATATTACTAAGAGTGAAATTGCTGGATCTTGTGGTAGACTGATTCCCATTTTCATGAGGAGTCACCATACTGATTTCCAAAGTGGCTGTACAAGTTGGCACTCCGACCAGCAGTGGAGGAGGGTTCCTCTTTCTCCGCATCCTCTCCAGCATAAACTGTCATTGGTATTTTTTATTTTAGCCATTCTGACAGGAGTAAGATGGTATCTCAGAGTTGTTTTGATTTGCATTTCCCTGATGACTAAGGATGTTGAACACTTTCTTATGTGTCTTTCAGCCATTTTAGATTCCTCTATTGAGAATTGTCTATTTAGTTCTGTACCCCATTTTTTAATTGGATTGTTTGGTGTTTTCGAGAATAGCTTCTTGAGTTCTTTGTATATTTTGGAGATCAGCCCTCTGTCAGATGTGGGGTTGGTGAATAACTTTTCCCAGTTTGTGGGCTGTCGTTTTGTCTTGCTGACTATGTTCTTTGCTTTACAGAAGCTACTCAGTTTCAGGAGGTCCCATTTATTAATTGTTGATCTCAGTGTCTGTGCTACTGGTGTTATGTTCAGGAAGCGGTCTCCTGTACCAATTAATCAAGGGTATTTCCCACTTTATCTTCTAGTAGGTTCAGTGTGGCTGGGTTTATCTTGAGGTCTTTGATCCATTTTGACTTAAGTTTTGTGCAGGGCGAAAGGTTTGGGTCTATCTGTAGTCTTCTACATGTTTGCATCCAGTTATGCCAGCACCATTTGTTGAAGATGTTCTCTTTGTTCCAGCGTATATATTTGGATTGTTGAGAGTGTTTTCATAGGTGATGATGTATCAGTGTGTTCTCTTTCCCAAGGAACACATTTGCAGCTTAATACAAGTCACCGACGCCTTAAATTGCCATGGTGACAGGCTGTCTAACATGCAAGGTAGGGAGCTGCCTCAGGGCAAGAGGGGCTTTTCTTGTAGCCTTTTTTGCTGGAAAACTAAATCTAGATACTGTGATGGTAAGAGGACTGAGAAACGTGTTCTAGATGCAATGAGAAAATAGGTTTCTCCAGTGAAGGAAAAATTGGTGCAAGTACTTGGCAGGGGTTTCATTTCCCCACAGTTCATAGAACTCTTTTGCCTTGGGGGCTAAAAGGGTCTAGTGCATATACTTCTACACCTTGATTGCTTTATTTCCCACTATTTTGGGGTGCAATGCCATAAATGAGCAAATCCATTAGGGAGCCCAATTTCACCCATCTATCCAGGGCTTAATACCATTCAATGCAGTTTGCTGATAGTACAGCTAGCAGTGGGGTAAGCTGGCCATCCTGAGAAAGTGGGGTGTGTGTGTTGCTACTGAGATGATTACAGGGAACCCAGAGGCCTCTCTAGTTTTCCAGCACTTATCCTCCTAAAAATGCTCTACAATGTCCTGCTAGCCTTTCTCCAGAAAGCTACTCTTGGCAGGAGCAACAAGGGAGTGTGTGGCAGCCAAGATTAGGATCCAGAATAAAGTGAGGGCGTGGATAGACGTCCCCAAGAGGTTTGAGGCTGTGGCCACTGCTCAAAAAAGCAACTCCTAGCCAGGCCCTGACACCATGTATGTTAGAAGAGGAGGCAGAAGATCGCCTGACAAGTGACACCTGGCCCTTTTCATTCATACTTGGCACAAAGAGAGCCCTATATTCTTTTTTTTTCTTTCTTGCCCCCACCTCAGGAGGCTGCTCAGACCCTTCTAAAGAATTTAGTCCACAGTGTAAAAGACACAGAGACAGATATTGGTGTTCAAGCTTCAAGCTGAAGACCAGAAAAGCAAAGTAGCAGGCCACTACCTCTTCCCACTATCTCAGGCTGAAAGGGCTGATCCTGCTGCCTCTCCTCAGTGTGGCTGGAGAATGAATGCCTGATATTGAGACCTTGCTCCTGTCTTATATACTTCCCTAGTGCTGGGATTAAAGGTGTGTGATCCCAGGTGTTGAGGTCATCTTTGTGTGAGCTGTTTCTCTTTAGTACTGATTCCATCATGTGTAGATCTGGGCAGCCTTGGACTCTGAAATCATCTATCTCTTAATCCCAAATCCTAGGATTAAAGGTGTATACCACCACTGCCTGACCTCTATAGCTTGAAGCTGACTTTGTTTTCTGAATCCCCAGGCAAGCTTTAATAAATCATAAATAGTATAACACCACACCCCAGCACTTGGGTTTGAATTCTGAGGCCATAAAACATCCTTATATCTTTCAAACGTGCAGCCATAGAGGAAAAGACAGCTAAGTTTCCAGAAGCAAAAGTATTGGCTCAGTCACTGTTGGGACTTCTGGAAGGTGGTCTGCCTTTGGGGAGAAGAGTGCTCTGGAAGTCCTGAGGCCACAGGTCCAGTTCTAGATTGCTGCTAGTGACCTTTGAGATCTTGGAGGGGCCATAGTGTGTCTCTCAGGCCTCCGTAAAAGCAATTGGCACCCTCAAGCCACCAGTCTTCCAGACCAGTTCAAAGAGAGGCAAGTCATCTCTGGATGAACATTGAAAACTGAGCTATTGTAGCCTGTGGTTAAATGGAGGCTCTGACATGTTTGTGATCCTCAGTTTGGGGATCATACTTGAGTAAGTATAAAAGCTAAGAATATGGGCTTTGTATATAGTCCATCCCAGGTTTAAACTTGGACTTGACAGCTTTCTGGCTGTTGTACTTCGGTCAAGTTATTTCTCTGGATCCCCTTTTGTTGTCTTTAAAATGGGATTCAGAATAGTCTGCCATTGTTACTGGGATGAAAATCAAAGCCTTTTTTGACAACATTCCACCCACCAGATACGTACCCAGAAATCGCTGTTAATAGTAACTACATTAAGGCTACTAGGATGTGATTGACTGTTAATGTTTTCTTCCAGGCACACTTTAGAAAAGCACAAGCTTTAGCCACCCTAGGCAAGGTGGAGGAAGCACTCAGAGAATTTCTCTACTGTGTGTCCCTTGACGGAAACAACAAGAAAGCCAGAGCTGAAGCTCAAAGGGTGAGTTGAGTGACTTAGGGTCAGCTGCCTAGTGGAACCCCACCACTTTGTCTTCTCTAGGGAGAAGGATGAAGATGCAACCCTCCTCAATATCTGTGTTCCTAAGTGGGTGGTTCTCTGGGTTTAAGGGGCATGAGAGAGATGCCAACTGATTGCCCAGAAGCCCCGATGTTCTGGTATGTACTATCAAATTAGCAGGTCCAACTTTTTTTGTAGGAGCCAGTGATAAATGCTTTGTCTTGGAATCAGTGGGCTATAAACCAAGCTAAACCAAGTAAGCTAACCTGAGGATGAAGGCTTGTTGATGAGAGATCAGGGCTAGGGGGTGGGGGCTGCTTGCAGTGCCTGAATCACACATGTCACCAGACACACATGGAGGACAGCTCCTGGGAAAGGACACTAATGCTCTCCACATTGCTTGCCACATACAGAACTCAAACCTTCACCTCTTCTGCTAGAAAACTAAACCCAGTATCTCACAAGTGCAAGTCAGAGTCCATTTTGAAACAATCTAACTAGTCCTTCTAACTCTTGGGTCCCAGGAGAATGTAGTTGTAAAACAAATATCATGAGAAATACTAAGAACTGAATTGAAGGATTAAGCAGCCTCATTTGATGGGCTTTGCCATTTATTCTAATATATTCTTCTGGTGTCTGGAAGTTGGGTGCTGACACTCGGTGATTGTATTAGTTTTCCTGTCCCCATGCACTATTTAACACCAGGCCTCAAGCCCTCTTACCCATGTGTAATGGTTTGACAGGGAAAGGGAGGAAGAAAGTGAGCAAGAGACAGAACTGGTCTCTGAAGACTCTAGAATTGAATATTTAGCAAAACTAATAAGGTTGGCAGAGGCTGGACTCTGGATTTTCTTACTCTGGCATGGAATGTGCTGTCTGGAAAAAAGTTTGACCTGGTTTGTATGTGTGGATAAGGTTTTATTGAAAGGGGCATGGTTCGGGCAGAATTATTAGCAGTCTATGGACCTTTCCTAAAACTTAAGTGTAGTCAGTCCGTGGTATGGCATTACCTGAGCATTGCCTATGTGCCAGTCACTTGGTTTGTACTTTCTGTAGAAGGTTCCATTTAGTCCCCAGAACCTCACTGTTATTTCTCACCATGTTATAGATGAGACAATTAAATGAGGAATCCAAGGCTCGGTGACTTTCCTGAGGGCACATGCCTTTCTTTCATTCGTTCCTCAGGTGGCCAAAGAGGTTCTGGTATCGTGAGTTGAACTAACCTCTCTCTCCAGTTTACTTGTAAGGATGGGCTGTTGTCATTTCTATACCTGCCTGATGAAAGACACAAGAAGCCCTAAGTTCCTCCTGGAACTTGCAATATTTTAGTGGTCAATATGAATGCCAGGCAATACAAGTGAATGTGTGCTTAAGATAAGTGTTACAAAATTCTGAAATTAATGTAGGAATTTGGAGATAATTGTCTGCTGACTGTTATGGAGCTATAACAGCCATTTAAGCACACTGAGAGGCCTCAATGTATGTATTCACTGGATTATTCAGTTTTAGGGCTAAACATTTGACAAATGGTCCAGATGCACTAGGCATTAATAAGCCACCTTAGAATCCACAGCTCTATGTTTTATTTCAAACTACAGTTTCTGGACCACCCCCTTACTTCTTGACCCAGTTGGGGCTTTCTAAGGCTGAAATTACATCAAAATTGACTTTTGTTCATGTGGAATGATTATTCTCACTGAAAGTCAACCCTAACATGTGTTTCCAAAGCCATTGAGAAGACCTAGAGAGAGTTCTTAGGTAGTGAAGCTAATAAGGCAACTACTGTATTATTCCTGCCTTGTTTCTTTTGATTCTGACCCCTGGCATCCTTTTCCTCATGCTACCTTCTGTCTTTTCAACCTTGGACTGGGTGCTATACAGCCCTCTCCAGGGAGACTATCTCAGAAGAGACTATCCTTTTGAGTCCCTGAGTGGGATTTCTGAGAACCAACATTGATTCCTAGGAATGAGTTAGCTCTGAAAGATTATATTTATGACCCTGGGCATTGTGTGTCTTCCCATCTTTGTCAACTTATAGGGGTTTTAGCAATGCAAGGAAGCATAAACATATCTCTGAGGAGTTGAAGCACCCGAGTGCTGGATTTCTTCATTGTCCCTTGGATGTATAAATGTCTTCATCATATCCATGAGTGTGATGTCTATTTATTAGGAATTTTCTCTGGCTGGCCAGAAAGACTTTTGTGACACACTTCCTGGGCACAGTAAGATGGTATAGTTTAAGGTTTGGTATCATGATCTGTAGAGACTGTGAAAGGACAGGTGAGATCAGAGAGATGGGAGTATTGAGGCAAGGCAGCACTTGAGCTTAACTTTAAGCCTGAGTAGGACTTCTGTGCTAGGAAGGAGCGGTTGCAGGAAGGAACATCTTGAGGAAACTTCAGAGGACAAGCAAGAGAATAAACCAGACTTTGAGTTTAGCATTCTTTCAAATTCTCTTGCTAAATCGGCACTTCCGACTATGTGGACTGGACAACAGTGTCAGGCATTCTCTAGTGGGTCTCCAAACATGGCAGGGTCTACTAGGTGATAAACATTTGAGTACATTTTTGAAGCCCA